AGTCCGATGCACGAAACGTTATTTAAATTAAACATGTGAAATTTTGCATTTGTTTTCAATGTGTTCAACAAACGTCGTCGTCGTTTTTTTTCCCTTTTCTTTTCTTTTCTTTCCTTTTTTTTTGCTTTGCCGTTCGCAAGAAAAACAAAACAAAAGGAAACAAACAAAAAGAATGAAAAGAAAAGAAAAGAAAAGAGTAGAAAAAAGCTTACGCACGATTCATCGAATCATCATGGCAACGTACGTATACGTAACTCTCATTCAAACAATTTATCGTCGCCATTGTCAATTTATTCGAAGACGTCGACGACGACGACGACAACGACACAAAAGACACGAACTGACACGCACACACACACACACACACACACACACATTGGTAAAATATTCGAACGTGATAAATCACCAACACAATTCATCACGTAAGAGAATTTTTACGACACAAAGGAAACGTAATAACAATAATAATAATAATAATAATTTCCCGAAAGGTGAAAAGGTGTGAATAGGAAAGAGAGAGAGAGAGAGAGAGAGAGAGAGAGAGAGAGAGAGAGAGAGAGAGAGAGAGAGAGAGAGAGAGAGAGAGAGAGAGAGAGAGAGAGAGAGAGACAAATGAAAACGAAAACGAAAACATTCTAGAATTTTTTTTTTTTTTTCTATAACCGTCGAAATGTTTTCTTTTATATGTTGACAAACGTTCAACGACCAAAACAAACAAACAAACAAACAAACGAACAAACAAACTGAGAGAAACTTTAAAAAAAAAAAAATCTCATTTCGAGATTAGAAAACAAATTATACTCCGACGACGTTATCAATGCAAAACGATTATTATTATTATTATTATTATTATTATTATTATTATTATTATTTATCCATGTTTAAACGTACTCAACTCGCGGTAATATAAAAACAAAACAATAATGATAATAATGATAATGATGATGATGGCAAAGTCGAAGAATTTTTTTTAACGACGATTCTCGTATGTTAGAGAAAAAAAAAAAAAAAGAGGTCAAAGGTGATTTCTTTTTTTTTTTTTTTTATTTTATTTTCGAGTCGATTTGCAAATGACGAAAACGTCGTCGTAAAATAATAATGATAATAATAATAATAATAAAAAACGTCGTTCACCTACAAATCGCAATGACAAAAAAAAAAAAAAATTTTTTTTTCCTCTCCAGCTACGCGTCTCACGCATTATTTACCGATGCGTCAAACTGTTTTATATATTTCGCAATTACGACGACGACGACGCATTTTCGCACGTAACAACCGTACAAACGAAAAACAAAACGAAACAAAACAAAACAAACGAACGAACGTACGTAAGTAACAAACGAATCCATCGTTTAAAAAAATAATCGAGTAATCATAATCAAATTTCCAGGTTCTTTTGTATACTTGGTTTGTTTGTTTGTTTGGTTGGTTGGTTGTTGTTGTTGGCTTTATTATCATTTACCTCGACATTTACTGACTCATACCATCCACATTTCACAATCCTTTCTTTCTAACTTTTATAAATAACCGAAATATTTTGTATTATATTAAAACAAACACAACCATTATCAATAATCGAAACACAATTCGTATCGGAAGAGATTTTTAATAATAATAATAATAATTAAACAAACGATTTTCGAATTATTATTGTTAATAATAATAATAAAGAATGAATTGACCAATAAAACAAGTTGGCCAGGTTCGGTATAGTAGTATCCTTGAGCAATTCTTCTTCTCAACAAACAAAACGAAAAAAAAAAAAAAAAAATTTATTTTCCGCTGGAAATTATTAATAATAATAATAATAATAATAATAATAATATCGGAAATTTAAGTTATTATTAATGGGAATTTCCATAACTTAATACGCGATTCGTCATATTTTATTTATAAAAAATCACATTAAAAACAAACAAAAACAAACGAAAAAAAAAAATATTAAAAAATTCAAACCTGGAAATTTTTTTTACTACGTTAAACATGCGAGTAACTTTTTTAATAATTTTTTTTTTTTTTTACCTTTTTTTTGGTTAATGTTTACATAAAAAAAAAAATTTTATAAAATGGCCTTCATTTCACTTTTGTATGTTTTTTTTTGGTATATAACAACCGTTTGTAAGTGCGTGCGTGTGCGAGTGCGTGTAAACAAAAAGCGTCGACGAATTTGTAAAATATCCTTTTTCTATCTCTCTCTCTCTCTCACTCTCTCTTATACCTTGAAACACAACAAACACTGACGAAATAAAAAATTTTTTTTTGTTTTAAAACATTAAATACTATCGCGTTATCGAACGACAAACACAAAATGGTCGACTCACAATTCAAACATGTTATAAACTGAAGTTCCAAAGAGAGAACACGTAAGATTCTTCTCGAGACCTGGGGGCCCCCCCCCTATTGTGCGCATGCGCATGAATAAAACTCATTGCCATTCGCGTTAAATAAAAAAAAAAAAAAAACCTATTATTATTATTATTATTATTTCTTTTTTTCCAGTGCGAGTGCGAGTGAGTGAGTGAGAGAGAGATTTATTTTGATAAAATTTTTTTCTGGAATTTTTTTTTTTTGTTTTTTTTAACGTAAAACTGATAAGGATTCGAATGATGTAAGAAATCCCTGGAGAAAATTCCAGAACGAACAAAAATGAACAAACGACAAAATGTTCGATGATGAAAACCTTTTCGATAACGTAAACATCTTTCTTTTTTTCCTTCTGGAAAAATTTCCAGTTTATATCAAAAAAATTTTTTTTTTCGTTTTGTTTTCTTTACAAAAAATGTTTTACTGGATAAACATAAACATAAACATAAAAAAACATAAAAGAACAAAAGAATCGAGAGTGCGTGTGTGTGACCTTAGCACATATTTAAAAATTTTTTTACGATGATCGTATTGCCCCCCATTGTGCGATTATAAATTATTAATAAAAAAAACAAACAATTCGTTTTTTTTGGGGGGCGTTTTTCGAGTATCGCATTACATTATTATTATACTAATTTAAATCATCGAATTTAAAAAATACGAGTGATAAGAATTGATAACAAAACGTCTTTTTTTTCAAATAATAACAAATCTCGTGTTACAAAAATTGATTAAACATTTCGAATTTTATATATAAATTTTACACAAAACCGGAAATGAATTTCACACAAAATTGTTTTACCACATCCGTTTCCCCCCTCCCCCCACCCCACGTGGTAAAGTTTAATTAAATTTATAAGACGAATTTGAAAAAAATCATTAAATCGATTACGAACGTGTTATCAATACTTTTTTTGACTTCTTATCACTATTTAAAACAAAACGTAAAAATTTCGTATAATAATAATAATAATAATAATAATAATAATAATAATTAAATACCTGTTTCGATACTTGAAAATATATTATCATTATTATTAATATTAATTAAAATTTTTTTACGGATTTAAAATATTTGTGTCGTTTTATGTTTTTAATTGAACGCAACAGGGCAGTACATTTAATTTTTATGTTTGTGCGTTTTTAAATTGAAAATTAGTAAGAAAACATAAAACATAAAAACATAAAAACATTAAACGTGTGGCATTTAAAAAACAATAACAACAACACTGATAACCTTTGCAAAAAAATTTTTTTTTCATTCATGCAAATTAGTTATTAAAAAAAAAAACCCATGAAATTTTACTCATCGATATTACTCTGATTTTTTTTTTTTAATCAATTTTTGAGATGTTAATTTAATAGGACCCCCAATTTCCCCCCTTTTCCCCTTCCTCTTCCCCTCCCCCTTTCGCTTTTGCAAACAAAAATAAATTCCCATAAGATTTTAAATAGTTTTTTATCATCGTTTCGTACCTGATTTTCCACATTTTGTTCAGTACTTACAAGAACTTAAAAAAAAAAAAACAACATATTGATAATAATAATAATAAGTAATTATTTTATAAACGGTTTCTTATTAATAATAAAATATTTTAAGGCAAGTTTTGTTTTGTTTTTGAACAAAAAAAAATTAGTATAATTTCGGTTAATTAACTAAATTTAATACTAAAAAAATGCACTGTTACAATTAATACTTTTTTTTTGATAAAATAATTGATAGCCAATGAGAAACACAACACTAGTATAATGATAAGTAAATTTTTTTAAAAACTAAAATACATATTATTTATCCATGTTATGTTACATGCATATCAATAACAACAACTCTTAATAATAATAATAATAATAATAATAATATTTTTTAAAAAAATGAATTGTCAAAATAAATGACAAAATCAATTTTTATTTTATAAAATAATAAAAATAATAATAATAGGAAAAGAAAGGAAAAAAACTTTCACTTGAATATTTTTGTTATTAAAATACTGAATTTAGAGACCTAAATTTAAAATACGGTAACGCATAAATATTAATAATAATAATAATAATAGTAAAAGAGAAAGAATAAATAAGAATGGTTTATGAAATATATAAATAAATAAATCATTTTATCAAAACCGTTAAAAAAATTCCATTATATAAACATTATCACACGTCAAATTCAAAACATTTTAATCAACATAAATACAAAAAAAAAAAAAAAAATTATGTTTTATGTTTACACTGTTCGTAACAAAAAATTTTAATTAATTCAAATTAAAATAATTCCTGCACGTTTTATCCTTTTTATTTTATAAAAAATTTATAATGTTGTTGTTTGCGTTACCTTTGATTAATAATAATAATAATAATAATAATAATAATAATAATAACTCTAAATAAAATAAAATAAAACATAATTTATACACATTTTAAATTCGACAGGGTAACAAAAAACTAATTTTTTTTTAAAGCAACCTAACTAGATTTAAATTTTTTTAAAAATTTGACTAGAGCTGAATTTCCTAGGCATTAATTAAGTTTTAACAACAAATAAAAATGACCAAATGAAATAAAAACAGTTGTTGTTGTTGTTGTTGTTGTTTGTTGCTTTTTTTAAAATAGTGCACTTTAAAAGTACTCCCTAATTAATATCAACCTTGAGTTATTTTTTTACATATTTCGTCGGTAAATTCTGAACATTTCGAACTTCCACCTAAATCTCCCGTTCTATATTTTCCTTCTTTGATCACGTTCAAACAAGCTCTTTCTATTTTATCTGCGTGATCATTTAAAGACATGTGACGAAGCATCATAACGGCTGAGAGTAAAAGAGCTGTTGGATTTGCTTTGTCAAGTCCTGCTATATCAGGAGCAGTTCCGTGTACCTGAAATAAATATTTTTTTTTAATTAATAATAATATTAATCTTGTAAGTCTATACACTAAACCTAAAGCATGATATTTACAGATTCGAATAATGCTCCATTTAATCCGATATTTCCACTGGGAGTAAGTCCCAATCCTCCGACCAAACCAGCACACATATCAGATAAAATGTCACCGTATAAATTTGGCATAACCAGAACATCATACTGAGAAGGATCTTGTACCATATTTAAACAAACAGTATCTAAATATTTTTCTTCAAATTTTACTTCTGGATTTTTAGCAGCAGATTCTCTGCAGCACCTCAAAAATAATCCATCCGACATTCTCCTGTAATAATACATTTTCCAATCGTTTAAGGAACAGATGTAAGAATCACAGATCACATATTAGAAAGGTTAAGATTTACATACATTATATTGGCTTTGTGAACTGCTGTAACTTTTTTCCTTTTATTTTCTTTGGCATAAATAAAAGCAAACTCTGCTACTCTTCTTGATGCCTCTTCCGTTATAAGTTTTATACTTTGTACGACACCATCTACAATTTCATGTTCTATACCAGAATATTCTCCCTCTGTGTTTTCTCTTATGGTAACAACATTAACATCATCATACATTGTTTTGTATCCTTCAAGTGATCTACAAGGTCTTACATTGGCATATAAATTAAATTCCCTAATAAATTGAATAAACTTGTTAGTTTTTAATGAAAAACAAATATTTTCATAATATTTCAATGTTAATTATATCTTATTACTTTCTTAAAGCAAGATTAAGAGATCTATGCCCTTTTCCTACAGGTGTCATCAGCGGTCCTTTGAGTCCTATTTTATTTTTATTTATCGAATCAATAGCTGCTTGAGGAATACCAAACTTTCCATCAGGACCCCTGACAGGAGTTACATCAACAGTATCCCACTCGATAGGAACCTAATTGTATATTTCATTAATTATTGAATGACCTTATAACGTTATTGATTAATTAAAGGGATTCTATTTAATTACAGCTTAATTTAAATAGTACAATAAAGAAATATACTGTACCTGGGCGGCATCGAAAACTTTTTGAACAGCACTAGAAATTTCCGGACCAATACCATCCCCTGGTATTAAGGTACATTTTTGCTTGCCCGAACTGTAATTTCGGCAAGCATAATTTTTAAAAGTGGAAGAGCACTAAAAAGAATTAAGGGTTTCTGATAAGATATCGTCATATTAAGTTTAAACATTAATTTGTATGCGAAAAAATTAAATGAAAAGAAACACTTACAAATTTACTAGTAAAACGGCCTGCCATGTCTACTAAATTCACCGCCCTTTAAAAATGTCCTCGTGCATGTTTTTTTCATGCAAAAAAATCACAGCCTCCTAATCAAATAACGTACGTTAATAAAATCTCAGGCAATTAGATTAGATGTATATATTTACGGTTAAAAATTTAATTTTAATATCAAATTACAAAAATTAAAACTAGTATTTTATTTTTAAATTAATTAAAAGCTCAGTTAAAATAAAACTAAATAAACATTTTTATTTATATTAACAACGTTTTTTATTGATTAACGTTAGCTCCCCAAATAAAATAACTAAAAAAAATGAATTTTACACCATTTTAAAATACAAATCAGGGACTTTAACAGAAATTTATAAGTATTAAATCTTATGTATTTATGATTCAATATTTAACTATGTAGTAGTTTTAAAAATTCTAATTACAGCAATATATCAGGAAAATTAGAAATAAAGTTTATTTTTTTTTACAAAGTATATTTATGAACATTTATAAATATTGAAAAAAAAACTAATTTTTTTTAAAGCCTCAATGAAACTTGGCAAGCTTTTTCTCTACTAATAGCAATTCGAGATCCAAACTGAAAAGCTCTTTTAGGAAAATTGGCAGCATCTCTAAAACCTAAATCCCAAGCTACAAGTCGAAGTAATAATTTATCTCCTAACCCAGGTGGCATTGAATCAACAGGATAACACCTAAATTAATTGCAATAAGTAATTTTTTTTTTTTTTTTTTTGCTTCAATACTTTTAAATTTATTATAAATTATTTATATTTTATTACTTGTTCCACGGTGGTAAAAATTCCAAAAAATTAATAACATCTTCATCTAAATATGGCATTCTTAACTGACGACCGTGATCTGAAACTATTCTATCATCTCTTCCTAAATTCCTTTGTGAAATTCTTCTTAATTCAAATTGCAATTCTTTATCTAAAGCACTCCAACCGTCGCGTTTTAACGTATTTCTATGTCTCATGTATCCCCCCAACTGTTCATCGGCTCCTATTCCTGAAAAAATGATCTATGATATTAATAATAGTAAAAAGGCGTTCTTTTAAATTATATAAGAAGTTTCTTTTTGGCAATCAGGAAATAAAAAATCCTACCCTAGCAGGTGAAACGTAATTTTCGTTCAAATCGTCTAATAAACCTTGTCCACGACTAGCAAACCATAAAGCACAACCTAAACTTTCGTCTAAAACAGTGTTGAGTGGATAAATCAAATGAGTGATGATTTCTTCTCTTTTTTTTTTTAATTCCTCTCGAGTTACATTAATCTGTAATTATTATTAAATGCATTATAATCATGCATTAATTTTAAAAATTTAAACAAAGATGTGGTGACAAAAAAAAATTACTTTATATTTTGAACGTGTGTGTGTACCTGAACAAAATTCCATTGTCTAGAATAATGCATTGTTTTTAATTCTTTGTAGGTACTCAATCCGGTCATTCGATCAGGAACATTAAATATATCATTTGACGGCACACTTTTTAAAAAAAATAAAAATATTAACACGACAACTTTTAAACCGTTACTTAAATTCAAAGAAAATCTCACTTACTCGCTATTGTTTTCTCCTGCTTTTGAGTTACTTTCGAAAGCAACATTTAAAAGATCAATCGGTTCTCCCAGGGGAAGAAAGCCGTGAGCAAGAGAAGCCAAAATGGCGGAATCAAGTCCGCCAGAAAATAAAATTGCTAATTTTGAATGAGTGCAATTCACTTCATCGTTGGACAATTCGATAGCCTTTTCCAAACAATTTTTACACATTTTCGGCATTTTTTCGATTCTAATCCGAACGGATTCCTGAAAATTATTAATGGACGAATAAGTAAAATAAAACTTTAAGGAGTAAAAGTTGTCATTTAGAATTCTAAAAAAATAGGATGCAACCTTTAGAGTGTGTAACAAATCTTCTACCAATATTTGAATGGAAGGTTTTTCAATTAGGTACGCCATTGTTTGTTTTACTCTTGATTTATTATCGCTTAATGTAATTTTATGCAAAAGGTTTCCCAGCGAAGAATCTTGTTCTCTAACCGTCCACATTTCGAGCTCATTTGTCAATGGGATTTCCGAAGACCTTTAAATGTAACACATAATCAGGTACGATAACGGTTTCTTTTGTTTTGAAAAGTTAAAATAAAAAAATAAAAAATACCTTCGTGGTGAAAACAAATTACTTTGAATAATTTCCCCAACTTGAAGTTTTTCCGCTGTTGTTTTAGGTAATAGGAGATGAAGATCTAACATGTTGGAAGAAATGTGTGACCATGGATGTATTGTTAATTGCATTTCTCCATCTAAAAATTTTACAGTTAAAATATATATACGTCAAATTTTAACGGGAATACGGGAATAAAAAATTTTAACCTTTTTCTAAATCGTATTCGAATATTCCAACAGCGGGTACTTCAAACAATCCTTCAACTTTTCTATTACCAACGGATGTAATGGTAATACTTCTTTGGGAAAAACCAATCAACAAACTGTGACGTCCAATAATATCTCTTCCAAAATAAAGTTTTTTCTTATTCCTGACAAATATTATGTAAATATTAAGACTAAAATTTTTTTGCCAACTAATGTTTATATATTTTTTGTACAACCACCATTTTTTTTTTTTCAGTTTCATAAAAAAAGGTTTATGCACCTTTTTTCCAAAAACGTAATTCATAAATTTTCTTACTTTTCATAATAAATAAAACTAAAAGGTCCTTTAATCGATGAAAAAATTTGAACGATGCTTTCTTCATTTCTACTAGCTTCTAGTAAATTTTTATAAACTTTCATGGAATCATTTTCATCATTACCCTAAAAACAAAAAGTATTCCAATTTTTAGTATTATTTATTAATATAAAATTTTTATGCATTAATAATCTGACATTAACATCACCTGACTTGAAAAAAAAAAAAATTCAAAGATAAGGAAATGATTTTCTATAAATATTACAACTAATAAAGAAAAATGGTTAAAAAAGATAAAAAAAAAATGTCAAGTGAAATGAAATCATCAATAATTAAAATATTTATTTTTCTTATGGGTTTGAGCGTTTTGGTTTTTTCCGAAACAATCACGCCAGTAAAAAATTGTAAGTCGATAATAATGATATAAGAAAATTAAAAAAAAAAATATTCGTTGTGAAAACAAAATAATTTTTTTTTTTTTTAAGGTACAAAAGCTCCGAATTTTAATCAAACTGTGATAGTGGAAACAGGTACGGGGATTTGCACTCAGCTACCCTGTCAATTGATAAGCGGAAAAGATGTTAAGACAACCGTGAGATTTCACGTGGATGGTAATTATCTCTTTATTCTTATTGTACAAAATAATGGCGGCAACAAACTTCAAAAATTTTTTTTTTTTTTTTTTTTTTGGTAAAACTAAAAATAAACAGAGAGTGAACGAAATTTAGCGTGTTTAACAGCAGTTAAATGTATATAAATAGTACATGTATTTGAAATGAGGCGAAAAAAACTTTCAAAAATTCACTTTTTAAAAAAAAAAAAACAAGAAACTTTATGGTAAACACAAAATAAAATACATCAATCTTAATAACACTTTTTGACTTTCGTGAGGAGCAAAAGTAAACGCGAAAAAAACACTTTGTTTTTATTATTTCAACATAAAGGGACAAAATTTAAATATTTAGCTCCAAATGATGCAACTATATTATAAATATTATATAAAATCAATAAAAAATAATTTTGATTGATTTAATATATTAAGTCGATGAGCGATATCGCTGAGTCACACGTTAAATTTTTTATCTCAATATTTTTATGAAAAAATTATTCGACAGATTTATCTTTCATTTAAAATTATTTTGAAAACAAAAAAAAAAAAAAATGAAAATTTTTCAAATGGACATGGATTTGCATGTTTCTCAATAGTAAAATATAAAATGAAATAATTTTTTCAGAGGAACAAGAACAAATTTCTCTTAAATGCAATGCGACAACAATGGGTTTGACAATTAGCTACCCTATACCAAACGGTGATGAAGCTTGTTCATTAGTGACAAACACATTTTGTCCAGTCGAATCTGATACTAATGTAGAACTTGAATTTATCATGCATGTTGATAAAATTTTTCCAAAGGTGAATCAGTATATATAATAATTTAATCAATATATAAAAGGCAATTTCAGTTTAAATGATTTATCACTATTCAAAGTTTTTACATCTTCAAATAGAATAACCGACATTTTTTTAAACTTGAAATTGTTTAAAGTCGATATTTTTGTTTCAGGTTATGGTCGAATTAGAAATTTATTTAGAAAATCAAGAAAATAAAATAATATCATGTTTTAATGTACCATCACAAGTTATTTAAGTTTTTTTTTGATAATGAAATTCACCTAATGAATATGAATGTGTGAAAGGTATTAAATTTTGACTCGAAGCACAAAATACATTGATGAAAATTGTAACCCATTTTAAAAATATAAAATGATACTGTAAAATCTTTCAAACCAAATCTTACGAATAAACTATAAAAAAACTAATCAGGTGAAATATATAAAATTACTTACTATTGAATTTAAAAAAATATCACCATTCCATAGCAAAATATTTTCTTCATATTGAAGTGGTTGAGGTACAAGGGTAGAACCTTGGGTCCAAAGAACGCTACCAGCAAATTGAATTATTGTATGCTTTGATAATTCAATAAATAATTCATCATAATGATTAGGACCCCTGTTTTTAAAGGCATTGTAAAATTCTGCAAACTTAATTAAATAAAAATTTCAATTTCATGCAAATTACTAAGGCATATAATATAACTTATAATAAAATATGTATTTGACAAATATTACATCGGCATTCGTTTCGTTCAATTTTCCCTTTTTAGCAATATCATTTAAAAAACTGTTTTTATTATGAATAATAGTGCAAAAAATTCCACACATATTGAGTAATGACTTCACTCCTGTGGTGGCCTGAAGTTATTTATTCAATGATAACTTTATTATTATTAACCCAAACCCTGAGGATAAAAACTGAGAAAATGAAAATATTTTTCAAAAATCATTAGTTTGAAAAATACGTTGTCATCTATAAATGGTTTTAAGTACTGAGTAAAACTTATAAAAATGTCTAAAAGCATTTTTAGACTTTGTCGCAATATTTAAATAAGTCTAATTCCACGTTAAAAGCGGTTGAACTTCTTTAAACAAACGACTGCCGAAAGTTTAAAATTTTTCTGCTATATATGTTTTAATAAAAATAAAATCTGCAAATAGTAAAAATATAAACAATTTTCATGAGCGATTAGTATTTTAATGAGTACAACAGTAAAATTATATTACATTTATTTAAGTATAATTTATTTAACGAATTTTAAAATAATCTGTGATAAAAGTTCTATTGATCCCAATGTAACTTACGAAGGTTTATTTTATTTATCATTAATTTGGATATTTTTATGGAAACAAATTGATGTGTAAGTGTTTTTAATTTTGTAAATTTTTTGTTTTTTTTTTTTTTTTTTTTTTTTAGGCAAATATACTTCAGGGTTAAAAAACTACGAAATAGTCATTCCTCAAAGGGTAAACAAAGATGGGAATTTTATTTCGCATGTTATACCTCATCAACACAGTAAAAGATCGACGAAAGAAATAAATTTAATTTTTTATAAAATACCCATTTCTGGAAAAGATTATTTAATCGAATTGCTTCCTAACAAAAAATTAATTTCTCCTGGAGCCGTTATGGAAACACACAAAGTAGATGTGCAAAACTTGAACAGGTTTGGCAAAAAAAAAAAAAAACAAATTTTTATAATTAAAATACTTTTACACTAACAATTTTATTTTCACAATGTATATTTCAGTGTAAAATTCAAAAAAAATGAAAGTAAAACTTTTGAAATGAATGAAAATATCCATTTAAGTAAAATAAAAAATACAGATTGTCATTTTTTTGGTCATGTCAGAGGAAAAAATTTTTCAAAGGCTGCTTTATCAAATTGTAACGGCTTAGTAAGCACTTTTTTAATATTATTTTATACAATGTGATATTCTATTCTTATAAATATCAGGTTTTTAATTTAATTTTATCAGGCAGGTTTTATACTCTTTGAAATGGAGTTTTACACAATAGAACCAGTAGCAGGACATGATCCTTTAATTGAAGATAAATTTCCTCACATTATTTATAAATTAAATTCTTCTGAAAATGATTTTGTTTGTCGATCGATGGGTTAGTATTACATTCAATAGGAGGTTTATGATGAGATGATTGTGGACAATCCTTAAATTATTTTTGACAATTTTCTTATCATGAACCCTAATTGAAAAACAATGATTAAGAATTATTGTATTTAAAATATTAATAATTTATTCAGGAAAAATGACAGACGTTTTAGAAAATCAGATAAAGAGACAAAGAAGAGAAAATAATAATAATGGTGTACGTCCATCCATGTACATGGAAACTTTAATAGTAATGGACAACAGCTTTATAAATTATCATCAAGAATCTGATTCTGAAAATTATATACTGACTGCCTTTAATATGGTAATATACAATACCTATATTTTATTAAAAAATATATTTAAAATTTTAGGTTTAAAAAAAAAAAAATTATTTAAAAATATTATTAATACCTGAAATAAAGTTTTGTGTGCTGGAGATTTTTGAGAAATTGTTACTTGTCATCATTGGAGTAAAAAAATTAAACTCAAATTTTTTTTTTCAGGCATCTAATTTCTTTCGGGATGTCTCTTTAGACTTTGTCCTGACGCTAACAATCGTCCGTATTATTCGTTTAGAAATTGAAAATTCTAATGTAAGGAAATTTTTTAAATTTTATTACCCATTGGCCGAAATAAAATGGAATATTATTTGTATTTACTCTTTCAGATGACTTTAAAAATAAATGCAGATGCTGTAAAGACTTTAAAATATTTTCAAGATTGGCAATATGACATAAATGCTGGAGATGATTCACATCCTAATCATCACGATGTTGCTATACTTATCACGAGGTTGTTTATCATTAAATATTTCTGAAATAAAAAAAAAAAAAAGATTTCTGTAAAATAATTTAAATAAAACTTTTTATTTCAGAGTCGATGTTTGTTACACGCCAGAGTTATGTGGACTTTTGGGTTTAGCAGTAATTGGAAAAGCATGCGATCCTAAACTATCTGCCATTTTAGTAGAAGACAACGGACTTCGTTCGGGGTTTGTAATGGCACACGAACTTGGCCATTTGTTAGTATGTTTTTATTGACATTGAGTTTATTTATTTATTTTCATGCTCACCAAATTTTGTATACTTAAAAATTTTTTTTAAGACTTGGTGCGGATCACGATGTTAAAAATTCTTCATGTAACGAAACGGACGCTAATGGATTTAAAACGATCATGCATCCTCAAGTATCGGTTAACTCTCAAACGTGGTCCAGATGCAGTCGAGCAGTGATTAACAGCTTCTTAAAGTAATTTTTTTCTTTTGAAAAAAAAAAAAAAAAAAAAAAACAAAAAAAAAATGTTATAATTTCATTTAAAATATTTTTTTATTTTTCAGGAGCGAAATGGGGCATTGTTTTCTTGATGAACCTGAAGATCATCATTTTAATTATCAAAATTTATTACCTGGTGTAATGTACAATGCTGATTTTCAATGTAAGCATCTTATTGCTCAAGATGCTCAGGAATGTAACATGGGCAGTGTAATTACAAGCTTTTTTATTTATCTATAAGTTTGAATAACCAGAGATTTAATTTTTATAAAAATATAAATAAACGTTATTTTCTTTCCTACAAATTGGATAACACAATTTTGCATTTTTTCAGTCCTGCAGTAGTTTAAATTGTTATGTACCAGGCTATGCTTGTATTGTCACTCATTCTCCGCCTGTGGACGGTACCCAATGCGGCGAGAATATGGTGAATATGAAGACATTTTTATTTTTATTTTAAAATTTTAATTTGATGATTTTTATGAGTAATTTTTAGTGGTGTCACGACAAAAAATGTGTCGCGGTTGGACAACGTCCAGGAGCAATAGATGGAAATTGGGGTGAATGGTCGCCTTGGAGTGATTGCACCAGAACGTGCGGTTTAGGCGTTTCTAGTTCTGTTCGGCAATGCGATAAACCCCTACCATCTCATAAAGGGAAGGATTGCGTTGGAGAAAGAAAAAGATACAAAATTTGTGCCACAACGGTAATTATTATAATTTATCTTTTCTTTTTTTTTTGCCTCCTCAAGTTTTCCACTAGTTTTTCCAAAAATTTTTTTTGATGTGAATGAATTAAAAAATAAAAGATTACAATACCCCCCCAAAATATTTCAGATTTCATAAGATACATAACCGACGAAGTAAACGTTTCCTTTGTGGGATAGCCTTGTAAAACAGGGCGACCCTCTTTCAGGGATATGCAGTGTGGAGAATTTGACGATTGGGTGTATCCAGAAGATGGAAAAACTCATAAATGGGAAGCTTACTACATGCATGAAGGTATTAATGAGCACTCCACTAATTACTATTATAAACTTTATCAATTAATTTCCATTTAAATTTTAGAAAGGGATAAAAAGTAAAAAGTTTTTGTTTTTAAATTTTAATCAACAGATAACCCGTGTGTTTTATATTGCATAAATGAAGAAAAAAAAGTTGCAGCATTAAAACCTCGAGTGATTGATGGAACCATGTGCTACAGAGGTATACGAGACATTTGTGTGGGAGGAGAGTGCAAAGTAAGTTTAAAACTTTTTATTTTGATTATAAAAGTAAAATTTATGTTTTAAAATACCTAATAAAGGTACTGCCTTGTGATCTTCACTTCGAATCGAATGCTATTGAAGATGTTTGTGGTGTTTGTCACGGAGATGGTACGACTTGCGAATTTTCCGGGGGAACTGAATCCTTTAAAGAAACATCAAAAGGTATTTTCTAACTAAAACAACTAATGTTTTTTTTAATAAATTTTAAGTACACTTTGTGCCATAAGTTAGCTTTTACAGAATTTAATTCTTCTTGTAGAGATGTTAAAACTAATTACTGTACCTTCCGGTACGAGGAACTTAAAGGTAGAAGAAACATTTCCTGCTTCATCTAATATTATTATTCAAGACAAGGAAAGTAAAGAATATTATTTAAAATCGTAAGCAAAAGAAATAACTGCGTTACTTTGCATATTACTATCGTAATATTTTATTAATAATAATTTTTATTTAAATTTTTGCTGTTAGAACGAATGTTAAATTTAATTTCAGACATTTTCTTGGAATGTTTAACGTACCTGGATCTCAAGCATGGCTCGGTATGATAAAAAAAAATCAAGAATTATTAGACATACCTGGGCCTATCACTAAACCACTATCTATTTGGGTATAATTTTTATTTTTCTAAACAAAACTTTTTATCAATTTTTACTGAAAAAAAAATATCATTAAAAAATTTCTTTTTTTATCTTCATTTTAGATTTCACAACCAGAAAATGTTACTGTGAAATGGTCGTTGGCATTGCCAACAACTCAACAAAGAAAACCAGAATTCACTTGGGATTTTTTAAAATGGAGTCCTTGCTCTGCTAAATGTGGTCCTGGAATGCAGGTTATAATTTGTAAAAGCTTATAATTTAAACCAAACATGAGTAGTGATATAAAAGTATTATTATTACTCAATGTTTACAAATGATGACTTTTTTCTTCTTCTTAAATTTCAGAAGTCAGAGCCGAGTTGTATGGAGGAAAAAGCTGGATTGGTCGAAAATACATTTTGCTCCGATTTGGAAGTTCCTTCAATTAAAGTTAGACCTTGTGAAATAATAAAATGCGAGCCTAGGTAAATAAAAATGGAAAATTTTCGTATCTAATAATTAAAATTATGTGATTTACCCAATAAATCATTTTAGATGGATGGTAGGAAACTGGAAAGAATGTGAAGATTCAGATGGATCGAATAAAATCAGAAGGAGAAAAGTTTACTGTATTAAACCAATAGGAGAAGGAGAAGGTGAAAGTCAAATTGTGGAAAATTCTGAATGCAAAACACCAAAACCTCACGATTCTGAAATATGCGAAAATCGTCAAAAGCGTGAAAATAAAGAAGATTCAAATGAGGCTTTCAACGACGAGGCAATGTTTATTCCCAATACTGTAGAATTTGGAATCCATAAAAAATACGATGATTATTTAACACATTTTGCTGCGTTATCAACACCGCAAAGAAAAAGTGAAACGATACCTTTGCATTTGTTATCATCACCGCATTTCAAGCGTTATTTTCGAGTTTTGGAAACGACAGAAGATTATACGGCGAATTCATCGAATCAAAATGATTCAGATACTTCAAATGTAATAGAATTCGATCATTCGAATCAGGAAAAAATGCCACCAGATTTTTACACAAATACTTTTAGCGGTGATCCCATTGAAATTAATCACATGCAATCATCTTTCGATTCGAACAAGGAATATAAAAATTTTTTTGACAGAAATATTTTTTTAAACGAAACATTTTCGGAGGGGAAAAAATTTAAAAAAAATCCACAAATAATTCAAAAAAATAAAAATTCTAAAACGGATAAAATGAAAAGATTTCAAAGAGTCGTTGTTTACCCTAATATTTCAATTGATAAAAATAAAAAAAGAAAAGTTCGGAGAACTCCTAAAATAATAAGATACAGTCATACAATCTGTCATCCAAAGTGTTCATTTCCAAAAGACAAAGTTAAATGCAAAATGCATTTTAATAAAGTTCACACGCATTTTTATCATTTATTAAATGAAGGAAAAAATGCGGCATTAAACAACACATCATCGAATTTTGAGAAGAAGAAAAAAAAAAAAAGTATTAAATCTCAAAATGGCGATGATAAATATCATCGTTATTCAAAAATAAAAAAAAATTCGAAAAAAATGTCAGATCGGTTGAAAAATTTTAAAACCGTTGAAAAGAAATCGAAAGTTGCATTTAAAAGGAATAAATATTTCGAAAAAGGTTTTAGGTTTGCCGATCGATGGCAAAAGGATTTAAAAAAAAATTACAATAAATTACAAAATGATAAAAGGTACCGTTCGGTAGCGTTGAAAAAATATTTCCATTTAAATGAAATGAAAAGAAATAAAATATTTAAACGTAAAAATATCGAACGATACCCGACAAATAATCGGAATTGTTTAAAATGTCTGGGATCATCATTAAAAAATTTTTTTAAATCTAACAACGATAAAAATAAAAATTTAAAAATTCGTGACAAAATGACGATGAGAAAAAATAAAAAAAACTTTAAATCTAGAAATGTTGGAAAAAGGAATACGCGTTTGGTTGTTATGGAAAGGCCACCGAACGTACCTTTTGCATTTAATTGCCATTTGGGAAATTGCGGTGACGAACGTCGTTCATCGATAATAAATAAAAAATTATGTCACAAATGGAAAAAGTTAAAAAATAGAAACACTCAAATTAAGACCGATGCAAATAATAATTACGGATCGGAAAGTAAAAATCAAATAAATAATTTATTTACAGACGAACGGGTAAAAGTTAATCCGCACAGAAAGCAAGAAACCAAAATGGCGCAAACCTTCATGAAAACTGGACGCCTGGTGATCGATAAAGATCGACCTGAAGATCAAAATATCGAAATCGTGTATCAGGAAGGAAATTTTGATTCGGATGGAAAATACATGAGGATATATCCACAGCCGACGCAAAATAAAAAATACGTTTTAAGAGGGCAAGAAGTATTTGATTTGCTTCAAAAAATTCAAAAGCGAAACAATCGCGACGATACGCATAAGGAGAACATTCAAAAGAAAAATGCAAAAGATGAAAAGGTTGAAATTGATGTGAATGTGTCACCGGTAAACAAAAATGCTAGCTCAAACGCATCCGATGAAGATGTTGAAGCACCAAATTCAAAAATAACTAAAACATCAACTACAAAGACAACCGTTAAACAAGAAGAAGAAACAAAAGAATCAACTTCATCATCTGAAAATACAACTGAAAAAAGTGAAACGGAAACAACTACTAAGAAAAAAGTTACGACGGAAAAAATAACGGAAACGGAAACGACGACGAATACTTCAACAACAACAACAATGACCACCGAAGATAAACGTCAAAAAATTAAAGAAGAAACTGAATCGAGTGTCACGTCACAGGTCACGTCACAGGTCACGTCACAGGTCACGCCACAGGTCACGTCACAGGTCACGCCACAGGTTACGCCACAGGCCACACCACAGGTTACGCCACAGGTCTCGCCACAGGCCACGCCACAGGCCACGCCACAGGCCACGCCACAGGCCACGCCACAGGTCTCGCCACAGGTCACGCCACAGGTCACGACCACAACCAAACAACCAAAAAAGACAACAACCAAAACGAGTTCTTTGAAAACAACTCAAGCAATTTGTACAGAAGAAACGACAGAGGATCCTTCATTTGGAGCTTGCAACGATGATGACGAAGAACCGCCACCATCACCGTCACCGTCACCGTCACAACAGACTAAAACCACGACAGTTTCTACTACAACCGTTAAAAATAAAAGTACTACCAAAACCGACAACAAAAACCAAAAAAAAAATAAAGATAAAGCGGGAAATTAATTCGACAATCGTGAATCCATTTTAAAGTTTTTAATTTTTACTAATAAAAAATTTAATTCTTTTCTTTATATTTCAAGTTGAAATTTTAACAAATGATAATAATAATAACAATAATAATAATAATTGAAGTTATAAAAAGAAAGGAAGAGAGAGAGAGAGAGAGAAAAAAAATTTAATTTTTTTGTTAATTTTTATTTTAAAGTTTTTTCATTTTCCATTTAATGGATAAAATTTTAATTATAAAAAAAAAAAAAAAATAAAAACAATAACAACAAATGTTTTTTTTTCGATTAGCACTTAATCGATATTAACTGAATTCTAATAAATTACAGTAAGAATTGTAAAAATAAGCTGTAATGAGTTTCACAAGTAAGTTTTTAATACTTTTCACAATTACTTTTGCTCGATAAAAACAATTTCATGTTTTTTTTTAATTCAAATTAATTTATCATTCCAGGTACTCTGTATAAGAAGTCACCATTTGAATCGTAGTAACAATCTTTAACTTTGTAAATAACATTTGTACCTCTATTAGCGCTTGGAACTTTAATTTTTTCCGGATAACTCGAAGAAGTGGTAATATTAACATTACTATTATTATTATTATCAACATTTTGCTCATTGATTTTATTTGTGAACTTGTCTGGTTGTAAAAGAGGTTTTTTTTCTAATTCAACTTGTGCTTTTTCCCTGCTGTCTTTTTTAGCATTCCAAAAAATTGAATTATTCATATCCTGTGCTATTTTATCATAATATTTTTCATCATTTTCTTTAAAATTTGAATCTTTTTCTATTCTTTCTTCATATTTTAATATTTCTTTTTTTTTTCTATTGGATAATTCTGAAGACCCATCATTTTCATAATCACTTATATTTTTTCCTAAATTTTCTTCTTTTATGTATATCGTACTACTTTTTGTTTCTCGTTTTTTATGAAAGTTTGATAAATTTCCAGACATATTATCCAATTCATCATCTTCATATTCTTCTGAATCCCAGTCTAATTTGAAATTAGATGTATTCTTAAATTTTGATAATTTATTAAAATTTACTTTAGATGGTTTTAAATCGTCCAAATTGTCATTGTCCCTGTTAAAATTATTAACGAATAAATGTTCTCTTGAAAAATTTTTTTTCGATATAAAATCAATGAGGCTACTCCCATCACTTCTATCATGTATTCCTTCACTACTTTTATCGTTAATAATTTTCTTAAGCATTTTATCAGTTTTTGAATCTTCTGTTTTGGCATACATTTTTTTTGAGGTTAACTTATCATGTTGTTCATTTGATGAATTCATATCGACAGATTTATTTTCAGGTAATAATTTCGATTTTTCAAGTACAACTTCTTCGTCTTGTGTCCTGTTAAATTCTTTTGTCAACCTGTCTATTTCTTTCGCATAATCATGAAGAATTTTAGATGTTTCACCTGTGTACTGTTTTTTAACTTCTACTTTAGGTAAGTAAAATTGTGAATTTTTTATATTTTCCAATAATGTTTCTCTACGATTAACAAATTTTTTTAAATGTTCAAGATATCTTGGACTTGCTTCTAATTTATTTTCTTCTAACAGTTTCCAATTTTTCTCTACATTAGCATCCATTTTTTTTTGCCTTTCTGGTGTGATTTTTATTCTGTTTTTAATTATTTTTTTTATTATAATTGGCGTGGCTGGATAACTTTCGCTTAAAGCTTGAATATTCCATACAATCGGATCTTTTTTATGTAAATATTGAATTGATAATCGTTCATTATAAGTTAACATTGAAGGTTCTTTTGCCGGAGCAAAAAATTTATTTTGTGTAATTTTAAAGTCAGTGAACTTCTTATTAAATTTTTTTTCGCTAAAATAAAAAAAAAATACATCAGTGAAAATTAATCGAAATGATAAAATGGATTCACGAATATAAAAAATCACCTTATATGAGCATCATAAAATGAATCTAAATTCATTAAATTTAATTCTTCAGGATCTTCATTTTCTTGTTCTAAATCAAATTCGGCGGCTTGAATATTTTTATTTAAACGTGAAGATTTATGTTTCGGCTTAGGGAAAGTTTTTTTAAATCTTCCACATAAAAATGTGTTCGTATGAATGTCACAAGTTAATAAATTACATAAATATCTATTATCTAAAAAAAATATTTTAAATTTATTTGTTACGGATAACATATTAACGTTTAAGAGGTTAGTTTCTCGAATGTTTTGATTATGAAGTGTTGCCAACTGATTTGTCAGATTAAATTGCGCCTTTGCGTAGGTTAAACGTGCAAGTTGAATTTTACTATTCTACATTCGTTTTTTAATTGATAATTTTTTTAATTTATTTTATTTATTTAATTTTAAATAGTTTTCAATGCAATAAAATTATACAAAATGAAAATAGAGGATTTAAATAAAATTATTGAACTTCAACGTAAACCGGAATTTATTCGAAATATTTGTATTTTAGCACATGTTGATCATGGGAAAACCACTATTGCTGACAGTTTGGTAGCCAGCAATGGTATTATATCTAATAAATTAGCTGGAAAGTTAAGGTACTCACTCACAATTTCTTTTTTACTACTTTCAAAAAAAAAAAATTTTAATTATGTCTTACGCAAAACTGTGTAATTTTAATGTAGGTATATGGACAGCAGAAAAGATGAACAAGAAAGAGGAATCACAATGAAAAGCAGTGCCATAACTCTTTTACATTTTCTAAAAAATACTTTTTATTTAGTCAATCTCATTGATTCACCTGGTCATGTTGATTTTTCATCGGAAGTTTCAACTGCTGTTAGATTATGCGATGGTGCAATCATTGTAGTCGATGTTGTAGAAGGAGTTTGTGCTCAAACCAAAGTAGCTTTAAAACAAGCTTGGTTAGAAAACATTAGGCCGATATTGGTTTTAAATAAAATCGATAGATTTATAATGGAATTAAAGTTATCTCCTCTCGATGCCTATTATAAATTAGTACAGGTAAGAAAACATTTGAATTTTTCGATTTTAAGATTGTCTTTTATGTATAAAAATTAATTTTATCGAAAAATTTTCTATCGTTAAGTTTTCCATATGTGCCACATAATTATTACTAATTTTTTTCCTTTCGGTATAGTATCTATTATAAATATAGTATAAATATTATGTTGTTTTGTTATCTAATTTTACATAACATTTTTTATTCATCATTAATTTAATTTTTTTAAATCAGGTTTTAGAACAAGTCAATGCAACAATGGGTGAATTATTTGCTAAGGATGTTATATCTAAAGCAGATGGAAAAGCTTCATCTGATGAAATCTCACATAAGAATGAAAATTTTACTTTATATAATTGGAGTTCAGGGCTAGATGAGGCAGATGATGAAAATTTATATTTTTCTCCAGAACAAGATAATGTAATTTTTGCAAGTGCCTATGACGGTTGGGCTTTCGAGTATGTTATCAACTATTAAATTGTATTTTAAATGTGTTGAATGTTATGTATTCTCGATCCATTTTTTTTTTTTTTTTTTTAAATTTAAAAGTAAATAATACTTATTTTATAATTCTTAGACATAGCATTCAACATGTTTTATTTTATTTTAATGTTTTACATATCATAATTATTAAGTTTTTATTTTTGTTCATTAGTTAATTATATTTTAACCCTGAAATTTTTATAGAGTTAAAAATTTTGCTAATATCTACAGTGAAAAATTAGAAATTGATGAAAAAGTATTAAAAAAAACTTTATGGGGAGACTTTTATTTAAACAATAAAACCAAAAAAGTATGCAAGGGAGCCCAATCTAAAGCTAAGAAGCCATTATTTGTTCAATTAATTTTAGAAAATCTTTGGGTTCTGTATGATGTGATTACTGTGAGAAGAGATAAAGACAAATTAGAAAAGATTGTGGAAAATTTAGGAATCAAGTTGACAACAAGAGATTTCAAACACAATGATTGCAGAGTACAACTTCAAGCAGTCTGTTCTCAATGGTTACCTATTGCTAAAACTCTTTTAGGTACTTAATAACTTAAAAATAATAATTTTTTAAATGAAATACTTTAAATTCCGTTGAAAATAATTATTATTTTTAAAATAAAATATAATTTATAAATTTTTTTTGAATAGATTCTGTGTGCAGAAAACTTCCAGCTCCGAATGAAATGACTCAGGAAAAAGCCGAGCGATTAATGTTATCAAGCGGAGATAGTTTTGAAAATTATCCTTTGGAAACGCAAAGACTGCGGGATGCCTTTGTTAAGTGTGATTTTAATTTAAACGCGCCTACAATTGTATTTATTTCAAAAATGTTTCCCGTTGAAACTAAAAGCCTGCCTCAAAATAAACAAAGGCCTCTTACGTCAGCTGAATTGGCTGAAAGGCGAGAAATGGCAAGGAAAAGGCACGAAGCGAAATTGGCCGGTTTAACATTGGAAGAAAAACCTTCAGAAGAAGAAATTGAAGAGACAAATGAAATAAGTCAAGAAGAGCACGTATTTGTCGCATTTGCTAGGGTGTTCAGTGGTACTCTTGAAGTTGGAAAAGAATTATTTGTTTTAGGACCGAAGCATGATCCGGGTCAAGCTTTAAAAACGGTAACGTATTATTTTCTTTCACTTTTTAATTTTTTGAAAGTTTTATAATAATTTTACTTACTTTTTTTAGTTAAATGCCGATTCGATTACTTTGGAAACTAAATTGAAAGATTTAACGCGTGGACAATATATTACCAAGACAAAAGTCAAAGATCTTTACTTGCTTATGGGAAGAGATTTAGTGAGCGTCAATGAAATTCCAGCAGGTAACATTGCTGGAATCGGCGGCTTAGACGAACACGTGTTAAAAACGGCTACCTTATCGGACACAATTGCCTGCCCTAGTTTTTCTGAAATTAAAAAGGTGGTCGCGCCCATTTTAAGAGTTGCGGTCGAACCCACTCATCCCAGTGATTTGCCGAAATTAATGAAAGGTCTTAAACTCTTAAATCAAGCGGATGCTGCTGTACAAGTTTTAGTTCAAGAAACTGGCGAACATGTGATCGTTACAGATGGAGAAGTTCACTTGCAGCGATGCTTGGATGATTTGAAAGAAAGGTACTTTTATATGTTTTTTGTACTACTGTTTTATTCTATATCCCACCCAATATTATATTTTTAATTTTTTCAATCATGCCCATTTCATTTTTGACAATAGATTTTAAAATATTAAAAAGTTAACTTTTAAACGCTAAGAGATTCATTTTAAAAAATCATCTAACTTATCTCTCAAATCTTAATTTATAATAATAACATGACATGTTCGTCTTCGGTAGTTTAATTTATTAAGTACTCCGTTAGAGTTTTTTTTTTTTTTTTTTTTTTTTTTTATGAATTATTTTTGTACGTTTTAATTTTGGTCTTGGTGTTGAAAGTAAAAAATAAAAAATTACGACAAAATATTTTAAGTTAAATAAAATATATATATATATATATATGTATTTGAAAATTTTTACAAATATCTTTATAATAAAAAATTATAAATTAATATAAAATTAAATATTTTTTATTTTTAGGTACGCCAAAATATCTATAAATGTTTCGGAACCAATAGTGCCTTTTAGAGAAACTATTGTTCCACCTCCTGCTTTCGATATGGTTAATCAGGCGATAGAAGGTCAAAACGTCAATTTGTCGAAGGTAAATTTTTATTTTTATTTTTTTTTTTGGGAAAAAAATATAAAAATTATCAGGTGAACATGCCTAAAATTAATTATGGCTGCTTTAAAATTAAACTTTTGCTTTTAAAATTGTTAATGTTAAAACCTTTTTTTTTTTGTTTTAGAATGATGTTAACACAACTGTGGAATTGATAACTCCGAATAAACAATGTCACATATCTTTAAGAGCGGCACCTCTTCCTAATAAAGTAACATCTTTACTAGAAAATAATTCGGATCTTATTAAATTAATTGATAAATATTGGTGTTATAAAAATGTCAACAGTACTTTGTCGAATCCAGAAAACAACGAACAAGAATTTGGTAAATATCAAAAAAAAGTAAAATCATCGATTAACGAAAAAATGGCGAAAAATTTTAATAAATATATATATTATGTTAATTTTTAGAAAACGAAAATGAAATCGACCAGAAAGTTCAACAGGAATGTTTGTCGGAAAAAAAATTACAGGAAATCGATTCGTTTAAAACGGAACTCATGAAAGCTTTTAATGAAGCTGGTAAAGAATGGGAAAATGTCGTCGAGAAAATTTGGAGTTTCGGACCGAAAAAATGTGGACCGAATATTTTATTTAATTTTGTTCCCAATTATAATAATCGTTCCGTTTGGTCGACGCCCACGAACGCGGAAATTTATTCCGAGTATGATAGCAGTTTTTGTAACGGTTTTCAATTGGCCACATTAGCGGGGCCTCTTTGCGAAGAACCCATGATGGGCGTTGCTTTTTTCGTAGAAAAGTGGGAAATTTTTCCCGAACCTTCCACTTCTGGGTAAGTAAAAAAAAAAAAAATTTTTTTTTTTTTTTTTTTTTTTTTTTTAAATTAAATCGAATTTGTTTGTTTTGATTAAAATTTTTTTGAAATTTTGATTTTTAAAGCGTGGTTTACGGTCCTCTTTCTGGTCAAATAATGTCTTGCGTGAAAGAAGGATGTAGAAAAGCTTTTCAAGCTCAACCTCAAAGGATAATGGCGGCAATGTATTCCTGCAGCATTCAAGCGAACGCTGAAGTTTTGGGTAAGTTTAATTTTTATTTTTTATTTTCTTTCTTTCTTTTTTTCTTAAAAGGCGAGATGAGTTTCGTAAATGTTGTCTCCCGAAAGTATTTTGATTTAAAATTTATTAAGGTTGGCCCCCGGTGATTGTTTATAGTTTATGTCGAATTATTTTTTAAGACCGTTGTTTTCGTTTGGTTTCGTCAAAGTCCCCCGCTTTACGGTTCATTCGTGTAATTAATTGAAAGAAAATTTTTATTAAATAACTTAAGGTAACTAACTGTACAATAAATATTGAAAAATGAACTTTTTTTTTTTAAAGCGAAATCTGGCCGAGTTGGCTTCTTTTTTTAAAAAAAAAAAAAATTTTTACGATTCGATTAGTTAAAAAAATATTTTTTTTTTTTTTTTTTTTACTATCACCACTGCAGGGAAGAATTGAACTCCTTTACTTTCTTCCATGGTATTTGTCGTGTTTGACCTAAAAATTTAACAAATAAAACGATTTGATTTCAATATCGATATATAAAATGCATAATAATAATAATAATAATAGTTTGATGAAGGTTTTAAAACGGTTTTATCTTTAAATACCTCTAATGGATCTCCTGTAACGGAAAGATCTATTTATTCTATACGAGTCCCTAATACACATCATACCGTAGACTCGTATGCCAGGTACGCTGGCATATGCCGGTTGATCGTGACTCATTGGCCCTTCTAAAAGAGAAAAAAACCAATTTCATTCGCGGTATTTTCTAGATCATTATTCTTCTTCTTCTCGAATAATTAATTTTATTTACCTAATCGTCCCTTGTTAGGACATCTGCAGATAACTAAATAATGAGATTTTCCGGTTCTTATGTTTTGAAGAGCCAAAAGTGACCAATCCCGGGGAGCACGACATATTCGCATTTCAGTCACGGGTTCGCAAGTTTTGACTAAAGTTAAAACCTAAAAAAAAAAAAAAAAAAAAAATGAATTAAAACGCGTTAGGGTGATGAGTTTTTTTTTTTTTTGTGAAAAAAATATCGTTTATATTACTTTTTTGCTGTTTGCTGTCACGAGTTCTGTCGTATGTTGATCATCTGCATTGAGGCTAGCGGAACAGGGTTCTTTTCGCGACGGACAAGCACACAATGGTTGAGTGTAGTTCAATCGAACGTAAACAGCATTGCAAACCTGTTTGTGAATTTGCAAAAAAAGGGAATTCAATTTGTTTGTTAAACCCTTTAAATTTTTCTTCATCGACGATTATTTAATAATTTACCTGTTGTATGGCGCATTCCGGTAAAAGATAAATATGTTGATTGTGTGGGTAATAGTGATATTTAGTCGGTTTTGGAGTCACTTCCGAAATTCCAGGTTTCGGGGAAACTGTCAGTTTTGTCTGGAAAAATAAAAATTTATAAAGGTTTCGTAAAACTGCCATTTTTTTTTTTGGAAACAGTTCTTGGGGCGTTGCTTTAAAGTCGAGTAATGATGAGTTTTGTTAACAAAAATTTAAATTTGTAATAAAAATAGGCCGAGAAGAAGTAAAAGAACTTTTTGACACACGTCCTGTTTGTTACTTGTTTGCATACCTTTTGTTATTCGTAGAGTAATTGTTAAAAAAAAAAAAAAAAAAAAAAAAAAAAAAAACATTACCGTCCGTATGTAACAGTATTCGAAATAAAATACCTCCAGCATTTTTAAATGTGGCTACGCTAAAATTTAAATATTCCGATTTAAAACGTGGGCGCACACGCACACCCACCCCCGCACACATAAAGATATATTCATTTAAAATTTTTTTTACAAATTTCTTAATTTAAAATTAATGGGGATCGCGTAAATTTTTTTTTTTTTTTTTCCCCCCCAAATCGATTCGTTCGATTCGATATTTATTTAGGCATATTTTCGATTTGAATTCAGAGGAATTAAAACGTTAAACGTCGGTAAAATCGATTCGATGACAATAAACAGGTACGACCGCATAAAAAAAAAAAAAAAAAAAAAGTTAGACGTAAACATAATTAAGTTATTAAAAGGAAAAGGAAAAGGAAAATGGCGTTTGAAATAAAAAAAAAAAAAAAAAATTCCGATGATTGTCTGACGGAACGTTCTCAATAATAATTATTAACGATTTAAAAACGCTTAGCAGGTATTTAATAATAATAATAATGATAATAATAAAAGGATTGCAAGTGTTTCTTTGATGTTTGACGACGGAACGGGAGTTGGTTAGGAAAAAAAAAAAAAAAAGAACTTGTCTTAATTTAAATGATATTGCGATATTCGAATTAGACGTTTGAAAAAAAATTTTTTTTCAAAATGATTTTAATGATGAAAAAAAACGAAACAGCCGCCCCCGCCCCCCCACTGAAAATCTCCCGACATTCCTGATTATTTGTTTGCAATCGGATATTGAAATACTTTAAGACGTTAGATTGTACATTTGAAATATTTATTAGTGAACGGTTTGTGTGTGTGTGTCTAATGACACGACGCGTGACGTTCGTTACTATTAATCGTCTTTATTGAAGTTTAAGATTGTCAATTAGCAAAAAGAATGCGAAGAGTTATTATTTTGATAAAATGTTTTAGTTTAAAAAAAAAAAAAAAAAAAAATGACAATTGCAAGGTTTTTTAGGTTTCACGCAAGCAATTATGTCTCTTTACGTATATACATAAATATTTATTATTATTATTATTATTATTATTTTTTTAATCACGTGCCGTAACAGATTTTTTAACTTTTGCCCCCCCGGTCATATCTCTCTCTCTTTTTTTCTTTAAAAAAAAAAAAAAATGTTTCGTACAATAATGAGTTGTAAAATCGTGGTCGTTTCAAAAAAAAAAAAAAATTGGGGTGGGGGGTGGGGAAATAATAATAATAATAATAAAACTAAAATTGCCATTTCACTTGTATGTATTTATCACGTTCGTGACTTTCAAGATGGTCTCTTGGGGTAGAAATCGAGCAAGTCGTGTCGTTATATTTAAAAAAAAAAAAAGTGGAAATAGTAAATGAAATAATGCCCACGATTTTCTCGCGGGAAAACAAAATTAAATTTTCGTTTTTTATTATTATTATTATTATTATTATTATTTACCCCTCTTTGTTCTTTTGCCACGATCGTTTAATTAAGTTATTATTTTCACGGTCAAATCGAAACAAAAACAAATCGTTTTTTTTGTTTACTTTTTATTATTATTATTATTTTTTTTTTTTTTTTCGTCTGCTGCTTGGTTTGCATAAAAAATTAATTAATTTTTTTGTTTGTTTTCCCTCCTGAAATTTTCAAATTGTTGTTGTTGTTGTTGTTCGATTTAAATTTTACGAAATTCGAAAACGTTCCAAAAAATTTTTTTTGAAAACAATGGTTAAAAATTAAAATTTAGAAAGTATTATTATTATTATTATTAAAATTTAAAAAAAAAAAAAAAAAACAAATTGTTGCGAGTCAAAGGTTTATAAAAAAAAAAAAAAAAAAAATGATTAAATTGGGAAATTTAACCCTCAGAGAAGAAAGTTTTCATGTAATTTTAATTTACTGATTGACTGCAATTATCATTATTATTATTATTATTGTTGTTATTACTATTATTATTATTATTATTATTATTTACTTTTACTTATTTATTTATTTTTTTTTTTTATATTTAAACCCAAGGCGGATTAAATGATTTTATTATCCCTTCAAACGAAAACATGACGTGTTCGATTGGTTCGAAAATCAGATCGTCGTCGTCGTCGTCCCCAGAATTATGTTATTAAATTTAAAAGCATTTATTATTATTATTATTATTATTATTATTATTATTATTATTAGATATTTTGTTTTTTATATATGGCCTCCTGTCACGGATTTTCGTTAATAATGTGACGTTTTTTCGACGGATTTCGAGATGAAAAGGGGAAGTACTCGTTGATTGATCGAACGTGTCTCAAATTTTTATACATACGCGGTTTTTCTGTGTGTCACGAAGTTGATAAAGTAAATTTTCTTATTATTATTATTATTATTTATTACTTGTTGGGAAAGGGTGAGATAAAAAATTAGTAATTTTTTCTATTCGTTTTCTTTCTCTCTTTCTCTCTCTCTCTATCTCTCGCACAAATTTTGTTGTAAAAGTTTAAATGAAAAGTAATTTGCGATTTGAATTATTGCGACGTATTCGTTTGTTTGTTTGTTTGTTGGCTTGTGTCGGTAAATAGCAAAAGATTTAAAGTTTTTTTTTTTATTTCGATTGTTAATTGATAACGTGTTATCAATGGAATTGTGTCAGGTTTCGCGTTTTTTTTTATAAAAAGAAAAAAATCAAAATCAAAATGATTCGGTTGTGAGGGAAATAATGAATGGGGAGGTGAGAATCCATAAAAATTTTTTTGATTTAAATTTTGTTCCGGGTCATCATTATTATTATTATTATTAATATTTTCATTGAATGAATAGATTACGGGGGGCGGAGCGGGGGGAGGTCGTGTGTATGCTTTTTTAAATTTAAAAAAAATTATTTTAATTTATTTTTATACATTTTGAATTAATTTTTTTTTTTTTATCTTTTTCAAATTTGTAGAAAAAAAAAATTTTTTTTTTAACCCACTTAATGTACGTGCTCCGAACAATAAAATAAAATTATTATTATTATTATTATTATTATTATTATCATCATCATCATTATCTTCATCATTGTTATTATTTGTCGAAAAAAAAAAAAAAAAACAATGAGGCACAATTTCTTTTTTTTTTTTTTTTAATGACGTATTGTCGTTATTTGAAAAAAAAAAATTTATTATTATTATTATTATTATCACTATTTCCTTTTTGTGTCCCCTTCGAAAGGTCTGAGTCAAGTCAATCAAATTTTCATTTTTCTTTTTGCAAAAAAAAAACGTCGTCTGCTTCGACGTTTACTAATAATTGTCGCGTTGTCGTTTTTCAAATGATGAAGAAAAACAAGTTTATGTTAATCGAGTTAAACTCGAAAATTATTTAAAATTTTTATTTTTAATTAAATCATTATCATTATTATTATTTCGTTTGTTTGTTTGTTTAAGTATTATTATTATTATTATAAAAGAGAATCGTCGAGGAGTAGAGTTGTTGTTGTTGTTGTTATAAACAATTTGCGTAGGACTTTTTTTTTTTTTTTTATTTGCAGGGTAATAAAATTTTCGTGACTTAAACGATTAGAAATTATTATTATTATTATTATTATTAATATTTAAAGAGCGCTTTCGATTTTATTAATAATAATAATAATAATAAATTTTACGTAATAGGTAATATATTTGAATAAAATTATTATTATTATTTTGGTTTTAAAAAGTGAAAGGTACCGAAACTTATCATCATCATTACGGATAATATTTATATGTGTGTATGTATATTTGATATAGAAAGTCGAAAGTGTTTAACGTTTTTAACGTTTTTTTTGTGCTAAAGTTTATTTATTTATGTTTTTAAATTTTTTTTTAATTTTTTTTTCGCAAACGAACGAAAGTTAATATTTAAATTTATGAAATTATGGTTGTTGTCATAAGTTGTCGACGAACTAAAAATAAAAAAAAAAAAAAAGAAAAGTCCAGAAAGAAAAAAAAGAAAATTTATTTTTTTAGAAAGCTATTCGAATTAATAACATTTGGTACGTAGATTATTGGAAATTATAATGAAAATAATAATAATTATTATTATTATTATTTTTATGTATTAAATTTCCGGTTTATTTTAAGAAAAAAAAAAAAAAACTCGTTTTATTACTTATTTTTAAGTGAAAATTTTTAAATGTCGAAAAATTTAATTTTTTTAAAATTTTAATTACTCTATGATCGTGCGTTGAGATGAATTTTCCAAAAATGTTTGTTTCGCTTACGAGCGAGAGCGTAACGAATTTTCTTTCGTTTTGTATTATCGTAATTTTGCAAAAAAAAAAAAATTTTTTTTTAAATATTGATCGTTTCCGTTTGTGCGTGAGTGTGTACGTGCGTACGGGCGTGCGTACGTGCGTTCGTTACTCGTGGGGATTTTTTTTTTTTAAATTTACCAATGGTTTTATCGTAAAGATATGAATTTAAAAAAAAAAAATAGAAAAGAAATTAAACGGGAATGAATTTGCAAAATTTTATTATTATTTCGATTTCGACTGACTTTTATTATTATCCTTATTATTATTATTATTAATTTGAGTAAAATTGAAATTTTTTGTAAAATGTCGAAATTAAATTTCGTTTCGAACCGAAAATAATTTTTTTTTTTTTTTTTTTTTTTTTCAATTTCGATTTAAAAAATCTATCACAAAACGTAGTCAATGTGTCTTGACATTTGTTATTATTATTATTATTATTATTATTATTATTAGTATTATTATTAATCGAAATGAAAAACTATATTAAAAACATTCACTACTGTTATTATTATTATTAATATTATTTTCGATGGGAAAATTACAAAAAAAAAAAAAAATAATAAGACAGAGAGATAGACGCGCGGATTTTCGTTTGAATGATTGATAATAATAATAATAATTTTCAATTAATTAAAGTCGTCGTGAAAAACTTGGTGGTTTCTTTGTATTATTATTATCATTATTATTATTGTTGTAGTTTTTTTTTTATGTTAATGAGAGCGAACGTTAGTTATTAGTGGTTGGTTAATGGTAATGAGAGTAGTTGGATTTTATTTAATGTTTACTCCCTAATTACGCGTAAATTGCTTTCTAACTAACCTAATAATTTGTGCGTGTGCGTGTGCGTGTGTCTCGAGCAGAAGAAATTTTTTTTTTTATTATTTAAATTAATTTTCGAGTTTATTTATTTATTTTCCGTTCCCCTCCCTCCTTCCCCCCGACGAAACAAATTTTATAGCGAAAGTTTCAAGTATGTCGTCCGATTATGGTATGATTATGGTATAGAGTTCGATTATGGTATGTTTTCCAGGCAGACGTTCGACCGAACGGTTTTATCGGATTTTATTCGCACGCAACGTTCGATACCGCAAGAAAAATATATTTAAAAAAAAGGAAAAATAATTTATTTTTAAATAACGTTAATCTAATAATAATAATAATAATAATAATAATAAACTCGGTCGAATATTTTTTTTTTTTTTTTTACAACCGACCGTTTTGATTTTTAAATGCGTTCGACGTTTCCGATTTTATTTGGAGCGTAGTGCATGTATATTTGTACCTTATGGCGAAAGTCGGATGTGAATACCGAACCAATGCGTCCCACTAAATTATTATTATTATTGTTCTCGTTATTATTATTATTATTATTATTATTATTTTTTAATGGAAATTAGGAGGTCGAATAGTATATGGTATCACAATTATTTTATTATTGGTTTGCTTTGACATTATTTTGTATTTTTTGTGAATCGTATACGATTTTTGTATTTTGGGGGCTTTTTTTTTTTTAATATATAATTACACATCGCGGAGAAAAGAAAAGAAAAGAAAAATTTCATTTTGTGGGGAGAGAGAGAGAGAGAGAGAAAGAAAGAGAAAATGAAATCGTCGTAAAAAAAAAAATTATAACCAGACAGCGGTTGTTTGGTTAAGAGAAATTTTTAAATTAAAAAATGATTGTTATGATTCATTCAATGCACTATTTGTTTTCGAATTCGCGTTACCGTTTCGAAAATCATTTGTATGTATGTATATTGCGAGTGAAAATGTTATCGACTGTAAAAATACTCGGTGGTATTCGTGAATGATTATTATTATTATTATTATTTATCGGTTTTAAAAGATCGTTGCCCGTTTTCGTAAACTATACTGTCATCATTGTAATCATCGTCATCGTCATCATCATCATCATCATCATCAATATCACTTCCGAAGTAATGCATACAAAAAAAAAAAAAAAACAAATAATGAGAATATATATATTCAAAGTCATTTAATTTGAAAATTTCAAGAGTCATTATTGACATTAACAATTGATTCTGTACGTGATTCGATCGGTGGATATATAAAATGACCATTAGAATTCGGGTCGCATATAATTTTCAGGAGGTATATATATTATTAGGTTCGAATGACCAGTCATTTTCTACCGAAATTCGAAAGTGACGGAGTTTAATTTCTTTAAGGTCCTATGGAAAACGAGTGGTTTCACGCCATTGTTACGCCATTGTTGTCGTTTTAATCATTTAAACCCTGATTTTTTATTTTTTTTTCGTTAATAATAAAATGTAATGATTTAGTGGACAAATCGAAAAACTCTTTCACGTTTCGAGTGTCGTAGTGTAAGAAAGCGGGTCGTAGGGAGCGAAAAAGTTTTTTCTTTTTTTTTTGGGGGGGAGGGGTGTGACACGTTTATTCATTGCTTTTTGTTTCGATTCTAGTAATGGCGTCGTATGAATTTTACATATAAAAAAAATAATTATTTTATTTAGATCGATCGATTAATCGAGCATATAATCCAAGTCATAATTTTAATCGTTTGTTTGTTATCGGTTTAAAACTATTATTATTATTATTTAAACGAGTGATAAAAGGATCGAATTCATATAAAATCTCGTTTACAAATTTTTTTTTTTTACGACCTAATCATAATTTCGTATTATCGTGGGGGGGGGAGGGGAAGGGATTCATTATCGTTTTTTATTTATTAATTTCTATCTTACTTAACGAAAGATGTTTTTTATTTTGAAAATTAAATATTGACTATAATAATAATAATGATAATGAAGACAATAATTACGCGTTGCTATTATAATAAGTAATGTTAAATTCACGTTATTACGGTAATTTTTTTCTTCTTTTTCTTCTCTAAGAAAATCAGTTGTTACGTAATAATTATTATTAATATTTTTTTTTCTGTACGCGTAACATAATTTTTAAATGTTGCGTTCGATTGAAAACAGTATAACGGAAATATCGAACGGGAATACCGGAAACGGTAATTTTTTTTTTTTTGTAGTTTGTTTTAAAAATTGTGGGCGGGAAAGCAACTTTTCGAATAAATCTAAAAAAATTTTGCACGTGTTTGAGTGTGTGTGTGTGTGGGTTTTTCATTGATTCATTTAAATTGTGATAATAAATCGTAGCGTAAATAAAGTAGAACGTAAAATAATAATAATGATAATAATGATAATAATGATAATAATAATAATAGTAATAATAAATTTTATGCAAATTCTCTTCGGGTGTACTCCAAATTTTTTTTTTGTTTTTCGAACATCGAATATAAATTGTTCTTGCAAGTTATTTATCATTCGAAACCACGCCGTGTTTGTTGTTTGTTTTGTTTTTACGAAAATAAATGTTTTCGATTCTACAAAAAAATTGTATTACGAATTCTACCTAAGAATATTTTTTTTTCGTTTCGGCTTCATTTTATTAATTTAATTTATTTTTTATAATTTTCAAACATTTTTCATTTTTTCTCTCTCTCTTTTTTAATAAATGAAATAATTGTTTGTAGGTAATAGTTGTTTGTAGCAAGCCGGGATTTTTGAAAAACAAGTTTTATTAAATTTGAAAATTTATGTCAGTTTTTTTTTTTTTCTCGACTGTCAAATTTTCACCCGAGTCGTCGTAAGTCAATTAATTTTTTAATTTTCGCTCTTTAATAATAATTTAAATAATTTTTATTAATTACACATCATTTTTTTAAATTTTATTATTAGTTTTTTTTTTTTTTTAATCGACGCGGAAATAGGGTCGAGCGTTTCCGTTTCTCCCGCATTTCCCCTTTTCATTCGGGTTTGCTTATTTCGGGAACCCCCCCTTCTTTTTTTCCCCCGCGACTGCGACTTTCCCGACGGGTAAATAATAAAACAAACAAACAAACAAGAAATTTTTCA